CCTTTTGTTTATTGAGATTGATAACTAAACACTCAATTGAAAAAAATTTCAAATGTGTGGCCTAAAAAATACGTCCCCCTCTTCAATTTCAATGAGGAAGTGAAAGGATGGCAAGCTGTGTGGAAGGTCAATGCAACAGGAAAGATGAAAATTGTTTTGTGGAGACTGGCACATGATTGCCTGCTTCTGACGCAACGTTTCGGACGCTCGAGAATGCTTCTTCTGCAACAGGGAGGAACGAGCTGATCATCTCTTTTTGTTTTGCCCTTTTGCCGGTCATGTTTGGCGCGAGGTGAAGTACAGATATGATTTCCATTTACACCGGAAAGAGCTTGTTCGCAAGAAATAGTGGATCTTCGACTTTTTTCAACAGGCGAGTTCGCTAGAGGCCAGGGCTCTGGTGGTGACAATATGATGTTAGAGATACGACACGCAATCGAACTCGATGAAGAACGAAAACAAGCAAGGGACACCAGATTTTAACGTGAAAAACCCCTCCAACACGAAGGGGCAAAAACCACGGGCGCCAGCCAGCCAAACTTCACTATATCGGGCGAGGTTACAAACGCCGGGGGTTTACAATTGATCAACTTATCCCATGCGGCGGCTTACAAGAGGTATATATGACATAGGTGACCTAGGTCAATACTGATCCGTACCGCAGGGGCCTCGCTCCGCTCGCTCGTCAGAAGTTAGCCTCCCTCTTTATACTTGAATTTGAAGCATAACATAACATATGATAACAGAGCCACGATGAATCCTCCTAGAGTGGCTGAGAAAGCAATGGCTTATGTCAACTTGATTGCACAGAACGGTGGCAACAACACTGCCAACGTCTCAAGGCTTGATACCCGAGTGTCTCCGAGTAGATGCAATCACGTGTAATGTCGATGCTAGTATGCTACACTTTTCATAGGCTCGAGGCAGATGTGAGTTGGGGTGGTGATCCTGAACCACATTGGCATTTGCTTGCTGGCTTGCTGAGCACATCGATCGATGGGGTTACCATGCCTCAGCTTGCAGAAGCATTTGGCACTACAGAAGATGGTGGCTCTCACCCGCACAAAGGTTCATCTTTCAATCGGACTGCCTATCCGTTCTTCAACGATGGACCGGTCGCTGGTGGGATTCTTCATTGGAGATATCAAACATTTGGCGATGTCCCCTTGTCTACTCATTTTAGTCGTGTTGGTCTTCTGTCAAATGTCACGGCACATATTCTAACTAGATCTTGAGAGTCCTCTAGTGACTATATTTCATGCAACCCCGGATTGTATCCGTGAGGCACTCACTCTTGACTATTCAAAGGTTCATCTTTCAATCGGACTGCCTATCCGTTATTCAGAGAACCAATTCTTCAACGATGGACCGGTCGCGGGTGGGAGTCTTCTGTCAAATGTCGCGCCACATATTCTAACTAGATCTTAAGAGTCCTCTAGTGACTATATTTCATGCAACCCTGAGGCACTCACTCTAGACTATTCTTGATCAATAAAGCTAGATATTCTCTAAAAAAACAGAGCAGCCTCTGACATGTCGCACTGTGCACCCGTCACGCTATAGTCAGGCATTTCCATCTTGCAAAGGCTTTCATGTGACACAAATTACTAGTAGTTTCAAAAAATTTAAGAATCAAAATACCTGTGTAATGAGATTAACTGGTCATGCAAATCTTGTAAACGCTCAAGGGTTCCTCGGTCTCGACGTACCCGAAGGTCCAGCGAACGTCACCGTAGCCTGCGATATCCATATTGGTGACCCTCGTCCCCCGGTTCCTCTCGGTAATGTCCACCACGCCATGCTTCGCCTTCTTCGGGTTGTTGGTCGGTGTGTGGCTGTACAGGAGACAACCTCGTTCATCCGATGACCACTCCCATGCCAGGATGCGCTCGCCGTGAACGAATAGCGGCAAGGTGAGACGTCGGTGCCTTGTGCTCGGCGTGCGCATCCGCACCATGTACCAACGGCTCCACCTGATCTGCCGACCCCCTCTCGCGCCCTCCAAGACCCACACCTCTGTCTTGTGCACGGGCGACGAGGCGTGGGTAAAGACGATGCCCAGCCTCCCCTGCACCTCCGCTAGGTGCCAACTGCCGCCATCTTTGGAGCGGGACAGCACGGACGGCAGCGTTGTGATGGACATGACGCGCTCATCCTCAAGACCAAAAGCCATGACCTTCTCGATGCCCTCCGGTGCGGCCACCCAGTACGTCGCGCCGTCGACGCTGATGACGCCGTGGACGGGGTCACAGCTCGCGGCGGGGTCGGTCGGCACCTCCTGCCAGGACGCATCCCCCAGCGTGAACACGTGCACCGCATCGTACACGGACCGGTTCACGTGGCACGGGACGTGCACGACACTGTACCTCCGTGTGGTTGGTAGATACGTGAAGCTGTAGGCCTCGTGCGAGCTCCTGTTGTAGCGGCTACATCGGTCAGCGGTACGCGGCGGCGGCAGCGGTGCGATGGCCAGCCCGGAACGGAGGACAGGATTGGTTACGGTGATGGCGCCGCCGGGGCCCCGGTTGGCGCAGTAGCAGACAAGACCATTGCAGGTGCCGACCACGCTCATGCCCTTGTAGCTCTCTGCCGACCAGTCGGCCCACAGCTTCCTATGACTGGTCCCCGGAGCAGGAGCCGACGATAGGTCGTCGACGACGTACTGGTAGCCCGTGGTGGTGGCCACGAGTGTCTTGGCGCGGCTCCGCAGGTTGGTGGCGGTGCGTTCGCCGACGACGTCGCGCCAGTGCCGGCTGACGAGGCGGAGCAGGCGGCGGGTGTTGGGCGGGAGGCGCATGAGGATATCCGCGAGCACGTCCGCGCCGAAGTCCCTGTACGTGCCCTCGTCTGGATCCATTGCTGGCTTCGATCAATGGATTGAGAGATCTGCTTATTATTTATTGTCTTCCGTTGAAACCGGATCTGAGTCGTAAAGTATGCTGTGATTTAGGGGACGTCCACGGCGGCATCGTTGAAACCGGGTTTGAGTTGTACTTGACTTTGTTGTGATTTTTTCTTTTTGAGAGAGAGATTGTTGTGATTTCGGAATACGTAGAGGTGCCGACGGACACGGATCAGTTCACGGCTTAGAGAGTGAATACCTCACGTGAATGCCATATCCAGCCTTTTCGCAAAAACAAAAAAAATGCCATATCCAGCCAATGTTTGTTTTGCAAGCCAATGTTTCTCCTGCATCCAACTATCTCCTTTGCATACATAAAAAAAATAGAGCACACACGCAACGCATCAGGCATCCAAAGAGAAAGCACAATAGGGGGGAGATGATTTTATTTGGTCGCAACCTCAATCGATCAAACCATCAAAAAATATATCAATGCGCACTCCAAATCATAGCACTACCGAAGCATGTTGTAACAATGGTATATCAACCAATGAACCAGGAGTCTAAGACACATAACCACGGCTATGTAGAGAAACACCCAAAGGTGGGTCAAGACAATAGGAGAATTATTGCGCGTGCATGAACAAATTTTGAGCTTTAGCCGAACCATAATATCACATATTGTTGAGGGTAGAAATCAATACCAGGATTGATGACATATAAGAGCTAGTACTACCTACCTACTCCAATGCATCCATCCTACCAACACAGCACTACAATTCTCAAAACAAGCAACTAATCCTAACGACAACCAACGGCTCCATCCATGATCGTGGCCTCCTCGGGCTTCAGCACCATGACGTCCGGCCTTCTTCAGTCGCACCACAAGCCAAGAGCAAGCCAGCAGCACATTCTTCAATACAAACATCAGTTCTACAACTCACAAACAAAACGTTTCTCCCCCATTGCTAAAACAACCAAGCTAAACATCTGAGAGTCCCATGCTTCCAACCACTTGTACAACTCTCTACAGGACACAAGATTGCTGCAAAGAGTCGTGGGGCAAGAAGATTGTCAATCCCAAATCGTGGCAAGACACGAGATCAAGGCCCAACGGATGTGCATGCCTTTCTTTAAAAACACAAAAGAACCATAAATCTTGGCAGAGCAATCATATATATGTGATAAATGAGATAAATAGGTTATTGCATTCTTGTTTGTACAATTATATGGTAAACATGTTCTTACATAGCACAAACTTGTTTACAGTTAGCTCCTTTTATAATAAGTTGCTTTTAAATCATATTTTATTTTCCATGTAAATTTCTATGGAAGTGAAGAATCCTCTTAAATTTAATATTTTCCTTTGGTTAATCTTGAGAATACGACTTACTCACAAGACATGGGTTTGGCAATAAAGTTGTTAGTCTTGATGATTTGGCCATGTACTGCCTGATTCCATTTAGACTGACGATGTTTTAGAATATGATTTTAACTTGAACAAGACTCTTGATGTTGTTCATCAGTTGTTATCCTCGTGGCTTCCCACTTCTAGGAAACAGGAGAAACTTTTAGCGGACCGTTGGATGATGGTCATGTTGTTTTCCTTCAGAGATCTTAAAATGTGCTTGGGGATTTGGTGTGCCCATGGACCATGGACTGCTCTATCTTGTGTGAGTTTCATGTAATGCATTAGGTTGTCTTGATCAACCTGGCTTTATGTTCTTTCGAACATAATGGCGAGAGTTGTGACTCTGGTAACAGAAATCATAGGAAAGCCTTCTTTAATAAATAAATAGAACAAAGTAGCACGAGAAAATAGATGAGGCCAGATGTCAATCAATTGAGATTAACCAAACTCTAAATTGATATCAGCAAAGAAGATTTTACATTTTTTGCCTTTATTTTTTTTTGTCATTTTGTTTATATATTTGACAACTCAATTCATTCTGACTGAGATCTATAACTAAACACTCAATTGAAAATTCTAACATGCAGCCTAAAAAATTGACTTGTGCTTAACAACCATTTAACATACATCTGATCATGTGACACATGACAATTTAAACTATTCCAAAAAACAAACATACATCTGGCCAATATATTTTCTATTCCAGCGAACCGGGTAACGAGGCCGAGGTGGTGAGATCTTCAATGGCTACGCTCGTAGTGTCCGCGCAAGCTTTGTTGGAAGATGAGAGCGGGGTAATGACGACGACGATGATTGCATGTACAGGGGAAATGGTGACGCAAGAGGCCCGTAGGCACTCAACGGTTCCTTGGTCTCCACGTAGGCGAACGTCCGGCGGTCGTTGCGGTGTGGCAACATGTTAATGTCGGCGACCACCGTCCCCCGATTCCTCTCGCTGATATCCACTGCGCCATGCTTCGCCTTCCTTGTGTGGTCGTCAATCGGTTTGTGCCTGTACAAGACATGATCTCGTTCATACAACGACCACTCCCATGTGAGGATCTGCTCGTCCTGGACGAGGAGTGGCCATGTGAGGCGCCGCATCTTTGTTCTCGATGACGGCTCCCGCGGCCGATGCGGCGGCGTTCTTGTCTGAATGATGTACCAGCAGCTCCACCTGATCTGCCCCAACGTACGACCCTGCATTACCCAGACCTCCGTCCTCTCCATCGCCGGCGAGAACTGGGTAAAGACGATGGCCAGCCTCCCGTGCACATCTCCTAGGTGCCAGCTGCCGCCGTTTTTGGAGCTGGACAACACTACGGAGGGTAGTGACCTAATGGACGTGAAGCGTCCGTGCTCGAGGTCGAACGACATGACCTTGTCGGCCTCCGGCGTGGTCCAGTACGTCACGCCGTCGACGCTGACGACGTTGTCGCCGAGGCTACATCTCGCGCCGGAGCTGGCCGGCACACCCCGCCACGATTTCTCCCCCAGCGTAAACACGTGCACCCTGTCGTAGACGGACCGGTCCAGATGGCAGGGGACGTGGACAACCTTGTAGAGCCCCGAGGTCGGGAGGTAGGCGAAGCTGTAGGCCGCGTGCCAGCTCCTATCGTAGCACGTGCTTTGATCATCAAAACGCGGCGGCGGCAGCGGCGGGAGGTTCAGCGCCTCGCCGGTGGCAGGGTTGGCCACGGTGATGGCACCGCCGAGCTCCCGGTCATCGCAGAGGCAGACGAGGCCGTTGCAGGTTCCGACGACGCTCATGTCCTTGTAGCGGTGTGCCATGAAATCCGGCCACAGCTCCCTGGGCTTCCATGGAGCCCATAGGTTGTCGATGACGCAGGCGGAGCCCGTGGCGGCGACGAGTGTCTTGGCGCGGCTCCGTAGGCTGGTGGCCGTGCGCGTGCCGATGACGTGGCGCCAGTGCCGGCAGACGAGGCGGAGACGGCGGCGGGTGTTGGGCGGGAGGCGCATCAGGATGTTCGCCAGCACGTCGGCGGGGAAGTCTCGTTGTGGATCCATGGCTGCCGCTGCGATCGCGCACGCTGCCGCTTCGTCGTTGTGGATCGATATGCAAGGGTCGACCTATTAAGCCGTGCATATTTATTGGTTGTGTGTACCGACCTCAGATACTATACTACTCCCTCCGTCCAGGTGTATAAGTCATTCGCGTAGTTCTAGGTCATCGATTTGAGAAATTAAATATGTGTTATATGTCATGAAAAGTATACCACTAGATTTTCACACGGATGTAGTTTCTAAATATATATTTTTTGTCACATATAATACATATTTAGATAGTTAAATTATCGACCTAGAACTACGCGAATGACTTATACACCGGGACGGAGGTAGTACCTGGTTTCGGATTTCCTTCCATTGAAACCGGATTTGAGTCGTGCTTGACTTGTTGTGATTTTTTTGTTTTATTGAGAGAGAGAGAGATAATTTGTGATGATTTCGGATAGAGCACGCGGTACGTAGCCACGGTTAAGTACGGAGTTAAACACACTATTTATTTATTTATTGAAAATTTTGGATGTAAAATTAAAGTGCAGAAACTGTTGTACATACGTGTAATACTTGGCTACACGCGGAGCTCGGATAATAGCATGTTGCTAGGACAGAATAGTGGTGTTAGGGCATCTCCAACGACGACCCTCAAACCGCCCGCAATCGTTTGGACCGCGCGGTTCGAATGTGTTGTGTCATCAAAGGCGGTTCTCCATCGATCCGCAGTGTGGTCCGGACGCACTTTCTCCAGCAAATCAGAGACAAACGTGAGGAGGGGCTTTGCGGGCGTCCGGACAGCACCCATGCCCATTTCGGACAAGACTG